TATTTTTTCCCAAAAAAAAGGCCCCCCCCCCCCCCCCCCCCCCCCCGCCTATTTCTGGTGAAGAAATTTGCATTCTCCGTTGTTATTTGAGTTAATGTCTGTTAGAAGTCGTTTACAAGTTTCCTGAGCAGTTCCCCGTGACAGCCTTGAGAAATCTCCAGTTGTAATGCGAAGGAAGAAAAAAGTACAGAATCCGTATTCAGAAGTGTTGGAGAAACTTTTCGTGTAGATCATTTTTATACTGAACCCGTCTTTTTTTTTCTTGTGTGTGTGTGTGTTTCCGCAGGTATCGGGAAAACTGGTGGAAGGAACGGACCCACATTTCAAATGGAGTCACAGTTATTCGTCGGTGTTCTACTCGAAAGTTCCTTACGATCCCACCGGGCCGATGGCGTGGTTCCAGAACTACGACGTCGAAGTCAGGGACCGAGTCAAGGCTGTGTCTGCTAAAGAAGGTTAGTCAAGTTTTCTTCTCATCCTGACCTCTGGGGAAAAGTTTTCTGGCTGTCAACAGGTTGAAAGGCCAACGTGTTTGTGATCATGTGTGCGGTATGGGATGTGGACAAATTGAGACAGACAATTTGAGACTGGAAAAATCCAGAGAGGGACAATTTGAGACAGAAACTTTTGGAGACTGTGACAATTAGGAGACATGGAAATTTAGAGACAGGGGCAATATGAGACAGTCCCAAAGTAACTCTGCACAGAAGTTTTTTTTTTCGTTTTCACTTAGTTTTCTGATTTTCCCAAGATTATTTTTGGATTTTGAGGAATTTTATATTCTTTTCAAAATTCAACTAAAGTATTTTAAATATGCTTTCTTAGAAATATTTCATGATGATTCATTCGTGCTATAGATTTTTTTTCTATACAAGGTGTTATATATAGAAATTTGTGTAATTTTTCTTGACCGTAAGAGACTATTCTGTGCAGTTTACCTCTGCCAATACTTTAAAAATTAATAAATGATGGTATGATATATTTTATGTGTATTACGATGGATGAAGAGAAGAATTAAAGTAAGGAAATGCTTATGTTTCAAATAGTCCTTGTCTCAAAATTCTCTGTCTACGAATGTCTCAAATTGTCCATGTCTACAAAAGTTTCTGTCTCAAATTGGCCCTGTCTCCAATTGTCTGTTTCAATTTGTCCTAGATCAGTCCGGTATTCTACGAAAATAAGAGCCAGTTAGTTGAATAAATTTATTTTCTTCAGACACTGCTCTGGAAATGAGCCGTAGAATGAATCCGTATTTCTATAACCCGTCATCGAATTTTTCAATTTTCTCTCCTTGGATTTCATAATTATCCCGCATTCGTTATTTTTCGTCTTGAGGAAATCATTTGAGAAACATTCACTTGCCTCGATTTTTGCAAATGTATGCGCATTGTTGGATCAAATTGGTGGTTCCCAGAGTTGCTTGTGGCCTGAAGGACGTATTTATGAAGCAATTGGCCTGATGAAATCTGCTTTTCAGTGTGACCTGTTTGACTCATCCCGTTTATTTTTTGGGTCAGCAAATATTGAAAAATTTTGTCCCGAGAAAAAAAAACATGTTCCGTCTTAACTGCTTGATTAAAAATAATAATTTAGCGTGACATGTTGAATATTTCGAGGTATGATTTGCATGTTGAAACTTATTACAGTAATCTAATCAGGCGTGAAATTCGTGATACTTCGGAAAGCAAATCACTGGGCTAGCATCGTTTAAAAAAATTTAGTAGATTAAAAAATTAATCTAAAAAATTCCGGACAAACAGACAGACAGACAGACAAGAAAGTGAGTTCATAAAAACGTGGTAAAAATTACTGTAATTCGTTTTTCTGGAGGGATGCGCTGTGTTGTTGGTATCGATTTTTCGTTGTTGTTTTGAAAAATTAAACCATTTCTATACGATAAATATGCATGTGAAATGTGAAATTTATTTATTAGACGAGATAATTCAGATACCCTGATGGTGAACGGAGTCTGTTCAATCAAAAATTCGTTTTATTGTACTGAAATTACTTTGAAATTTCCGGTCTATGTCTTCAATCTGTCGGTAAAATCACGCGAAGAATGTTATTTTCGACTGAAATGTATTCAAGATTATAAATCTGAATTCGAACTTTCATTGAATAGCGATTTAATTCATATTTTTAATTTGTGATACCCTATCTTAGCGAGCAATGCATTTTTAAAGAAAAATTATCTGACCGAGAAGCAAAAGAGCGATGTTTATTTGACCAATGATAAGCTTCCTGAATGCATCCAAAGGGGAAACGTTGTTCATATTTCCGACTATTCAGCCCCAGAAAAAAAATAAATCGTTCTAAATCTGGTCCAATGTGTCAGAGTTTACTTCCTCAGAAGAAGAAAAAATTCAAGTGAATGAATCCAGTTCATTTTTCCCAGAAAACCTTTATTTTTTCGGTCGAAGAAAGGGAAAGGGGAATGTCTAAGGTGCCGTTTACGACAAGCGTGGATAAGTTTTGTTTTTATCTCGAGAATTTCGGAAGTTTCGATGAAGGATCCCTTCTCTGCTCCTAGACACCAGAGGTAAGAAAAGGCAGAAAATTCTCACGAACTGAGATATGAATCCAGTGACTAAAATAAAATAAAACAAAATTAAATTGAAAAAAAAAAGAAGAGAGAACCCTTCAGGTTTGTTCAGACGCTGTGGGATACTGGAATGATCGGACGACATTTCGCGGGAATGGATCGCGTGACGTCCAGTCTCTGCGATGGGAGATAATTTTGGGCGAGCGAATCGATTCTGCGTCTGGAGCGAGTGTGTGTGTGTGTGTGTGTGTAATGATGGTTGTGGTGCGAGGGTCCCATTGAAAGCGAAATTCCTTCTCGTCGCGAATTTCCTGTCTTTTTTATTTTCTTTGTGGAACTCCGTTGTTCTTGAAAGAATCGACGGGGGTCATTATTGGCGCATTCGTGACGAGGTCCTTTCCTTGGGGGGGTTTCGTAATGGACTGAAGGATTCGATCCTTGCGGGTGGCCATTGACAGCGGAAATTTGCCGTCTTACTGTCGACTGCGTCGTCGGTCGTCCTTTGAAAGAATTTTTCGAGTCTTCGGAATTTTGAAATTCCTGTGCGTGAACGCTTGCTTCTTGGTTTTTCCATGAATTTTTTAAAAAATTTACAGCGTCAATCGTAAAGAAAAACTTCTCTTGGACTGTGGACAAAGATTTTACGAAGTACAGTACAGTGAGTCCCCGCATAACGAAAAGTAATCCGTTCATGGGTGAGTTTCGTAATGTGGGATTTTCTTAAGACGAAACGCAAGGATTTTTAAATACGTTCCAAACATTTGCCAAACGATTATGAGAAACAGTAAAAACTGCGTATTTGTCCTAATTTTCCGAATAAGAGTTTGAATTTTAAACTTAGTATTATATCATAGCATTTTAATAATCCTTGAAATTTTTTTCTTCTTTAATTTCACGAATTGTGAAGACACGAAAAGGAAAAAATATGCCCCTTTCTGAAATTTTCCTTGATAATTTTTGAACTCCCAAGTTTTACCTCAAAACTTTCAAAAAATTCTACCAGGAAATTCGATTTTTCAACCAAAGAATGTTACTAATTGGAAAATTTTTGTTATCTGGGTCACTTTTTTGCCTTTAAATTTTTTTCGTTTTGTGGTTTTTTCCCCTCCCCTGGGTCTTTTGTTATGCGTAGACTCATGTTACTACAGTATTGATCATTTGCCCAGAAGCGTTGATTAAATCCATTAGTTTGCTCTAAATGTCGTCCATACGTAACAACTCATTTCAAACTCTATTGGGTGAACCTCTCTAATTCGAATACCCCCTAAGTGAAATATTTAGCTACCAGTCAAATTTGTTTCTAGTCCCCATCTGAATCCCCTTAGAAACAATAGAGTAAAAACCTCCCTAAGTCAAAAGCTTTTCCCCTCAAACCTCCGGAAGTCGAATTTTCTGTGGCCTGTTGGCCATTATTTTCTTGAAAAAAAAGAAAGAAAGAGAGCAATAAAAACAGAAACTCATGTGTATTAAAGGAAGTGAAAGACTTAATTTGGCAAATAAACCCCTCCAATTTCAGCAGCCTTTCTACTCAATTAAGAAGCCATTTAAGCCCCAGAATATCATCATTTACATTTTTTCCAAGTTTTCCAGAAAAAAGAGCTTTGTGTTGCAGTTCCAACCTATAAAATTCCAAACCTCCCTAAGTGGAAACCTCCCTATGTCGAATTTTTTGCAGGTCCCTTGAAATTTGACTTGGAGAGGTTCGACTTTTGGACCCTCTCACAATCTCTGTCGCGAATGAAAATAACCAAGAAGAAACCAAATCGACAACAAGTTGCGTGTTTCCTCTCGCTGAGGTTTCACTTCACTTCATTGCGCTGTTACTCGGAGAAACTTTTTTCTTATGATTAGCCCGTTGATTGATGTGGAGAAATCTAAGAATGATTGCTGCTGATCCTGAGCAGTAAAGCGCCGCGTTTTACTGGCATGCGAACCATCAATATCGTGCGTTCCAGGGGACGGGGTTATTGGATTACCCCGACATCCTCCCTGGGGTGTCTTCTTCTGTCTGCGTTTTTTTTTTTTTTTTTTCTTTTCCTGCCAGCTTTGCAGTTCCCCAGGGCTGCCCACAAACCGAAATGACGACGAGAAATATGTTATTCTTTCCAGAAGTCTGGGGTATGTTCCAGCTCTGGTCAGTCGTTTTAGATTTAGGGCTTAGTATAGTCGTAGAACGTCGGGACTGTACGTGGTTAATTGCCGCGTGGAAATGGCGGCATTTCGTCATGCTCAGGCAATTATTTTTATCGCTGTAGTGTAGTTTATTGATTCAACTGTGAGACGACAGTCATTGACCGTGTAACATATATTGCGTCAGGAAATTTCACGTCTGCTCACATTTTAGACGAGCAATTTTTTCTCGCAAAAATTACTACGGTACTGTGGATAATAAAATCTGAACGCGATTTTCTAGATTCGATGGCGTTTTATGCTTGATTCTTGCCCCAAATTTAATATTATCTTGCATTCGCGAGTGAAGTGTGTGGCATGATCAATTGACTGAAGCTTCTCTGAAATTCAGTTGAATGTTTTCTTTGTAAAATTCGAACATGACTTTAGACGAACAAATTTTCTCGCTAAAAAATTACTACTGAACTGTAGATCATGAAATCTGAACGCGATTTTCTAAATTCGATGGCGTATGATGCTTGATGCTTGTCTTACATTTAATATTATGATAGATTCGAGGGTGAAGTGCGTATATAATTGCTTTTGATGTATGATATGCTGTATGATGAGCTTCTCTCATTTTCGATTGATTTTTTTATATGAAAAATTCTAGCATATCATCCTATTTGTCTTTGTTATTACAGCATAAAGTTTTAAGAGAGAAACTTTTCAAGTGATGTTATCTGCCTTCTTATTTTACTCGTTTATTTTTTTTTCTCGCTTGAAACGGTATCCAAGCGTATAACGGAAAGCCTGAGAAACTTTTTGTTTGAACTTGTCGGAAAAAGAGCCGACAAGTTTTCTATCCATTTCACAGGGTCTTCAACTTTAGCTCATGTTTGTGTTTCCTTCGTTCTTCCACGTCTGGAATTTCGTGTCAAAAAATGCTGCAACTTAGTTTGACCTTCGAAATATTTTTCGAAAATGTGTGTAGAGAATTTTTTGCACGATGGATTTACATTTGTAAATTTTAAATGCGCTGGAGGAAGAAAAGGGTTGTTCCTGATTTTAACGAATCAACTCTTTGGTTTTTTTATTCATCTGTATGAAATTTGTTCATGTCTTTTGAAACTTAGTATTGACTCTGAATTTTAGAGCCGAAAGTTTCAAATTATTCATTTCATAAAGGGAAAAATGTAGCATAATGGTTATCGCTATTGGTGATCACGATGCGATTGAAATTTTATTTCAAGATACGCCTCTTTTTAGATTAAAAGACTTGTATTTGTGTACATTTTTATTTATTTAATATTACTGCATTCTGTAGAATCTTGTTACTGTGCAATGAATATTGTTGTACACTGAGAAATTATTGCTTACGATGAATTCGTTTCAGGTCCCTACTGAATGGGCGCAATCTTATTTAAATTTATTTACATCGAATTTTTTGGTCATGGCGAAGCTCTTTTCTGACCCCGAAGGCTTTATTTTAGTGATATTTCGAGGTATTCATGTACGTTGTGAGCATACTTCTAAATGTTTTATATACTGTATTACTGTACAGTATAGATAAATTATATTTATATTTATTTTTCCAAACCAGCATGCCGACGTAAATTCACAATTTATTTTTCGTTATCTTTTCAGGGGTGCCAGTGAGCGTGCAATGGTCGACGTCGGGGTATTTTTACCCTATCCAGATAGCCCAGTTCGCACTCAGCCATTATTCGAAGCATTTCACGGAAATCGGAGCTGAGAAACCACGAGAAACCGTTTATTTTGACGGAGAAGATAAACAAGGTTCTTGGAAAATCCCGGATTCTGCTCACGTCGAACGGTTGTACGACGCAGTCTCCAGCAATCATTACGTCGAGTTTAACGTGAAAGGTTTGTTGGCAAACAAAGGCACATTGCTGTTAAATTTTGAAATTTTTATGTGTATTGTCTTGCATCTCGCTCAGCTTGCACAAAATGTTCTCGTTTTAATTTTCTGCGCTCTTTAGTTTATATTCCTTGCCATTCAATTTCAAGCTTTCGTCGTAATGGATATAATTTTTGGACACGTCAACTTCTGGTTCGAAAGAACTCTTGTGAAGCGCATGATTTTGAAAACATCAGGATGTTTACGTGGCCATTTTTGAACTACAGTACCACCTTTTCAACTCCTTTTTCGATATTATTTGCGAGCATGAGTAGCTTTTCCTCGTGTATTTGCCTCAGTGTCCTCTGAAAAATTCGTTTTTTGGCGTCATATGAACCCTTTTTCTGAATGCTTGAGGCCTGTAGTTTATTCACGCGCTGTCTTTATTTGCAAAAATATTGCAGTACACTAAATTTCATGATTGAGAGGCTAATTTTGCGATTTTGTTTGCAAAGAAAATTATTGGAAGTTTCATTATAATTTTTTTTTTTTGACTGCAGCGAAGGAGAACGCGGATTTGTCGCTGGAGCCGTCGTCGGACTTGATACTCAAGTTGGACTTGTATTCTGCGAGCAATACGAGCATTTTTGTCAAGTTGGAGGACCGGGGAAAACCGTATTATCTCGTGTACACGACGGCGTTGGAGGATGTCATCCGAGTGGAGGTGAAATTGGTGTTTTCCTCTCGAGAATTCGCTGCCCGTTTTTGCGTCGTCAATTATAATACAGTACTGGGTCATTTTATTTTATTTTATTGTTTTGATGAAGCAGGGACCGCTTATTTTTCCATTTGTTGTACTTCTTTTCCCCCATTTCTCAAACTTGGATCTCGAATGGGACGCTTTTCATATCGTTCACTGTCTAAAGTTCAGATCCTCAGAAAATATTTGCATTCAAAACTTGAACAATAACAGACGCCCCTGCAATAACTTGTGTGTTCGATTGGGCAAATGTTCCGAGTGTGGTATGCGTTTGAATTTCACTCCGCAAAACTTGCGTCGATTTCTGAGTACGGTAAATTTTAACATTTCGTCGTGAAAATATCCCTGAGAATCATCACAGAGGCAGTGGTGAAATGAGTCGAAATCTTTCTCTAATAACTTGATGCGTCAGTAATATTAAATTTGTTACTGTAATAGTATTCGTTACGCTTTCTACATTCCCTTGGAAAAAATTGCTGCATTGACAGCTTACGGGAGCAGAATGATTAATTTTTCAAATCGTAATTATTTCATCCGAGGCGATCACATAAATTCGCCGAGGATGAGTCGACTATTTCAAATGTCCGTCATTTCTCCAGAGATGAAATTAATTTGACACTTGGAAAAATACCAAACTTCTAGATTTGGAAGTACTGCATTGATCTCTGACTGTTCAGATCAATTTGCAGAGAATCATTGATTCAACTTGTAATTCCTGCATTTTCAACTTCAGTCTAGAATTTATCATTCATTCGAAGATAGAAAGGAAAGATAATTTACGAGCCGTAAGAATGTTTTTCAAGCCAGTCGGATTAGTGGGTGGAAATCGCATTCGTTGTATTTTAGGGTAAATATTAAAATCGTGGAAAATATTTATCAAATTTTTTCGGATTCCAAAAGCTTTTATTTTCATCCGTCTTTGCGTTCAAGAACTCATTCATGCGTTTGATTTCGAAGGACAACCGTGTGATCTACGGAATGGGCAGAGAAAGCGAAGGAAAATGGATCAGATTCGTTCGTGATCTCGGCAAGGATCTCCAAAAGGGTTACGCTCCACCTAATCTCAATCCTTCATCCGGGGCTCGTAACAAATCCAACGCGTCACACCGCAAGAAAATCAAGTTCAAGCGCACTGCCCTCAAACCCATCATGCTCAGCATCCGTGGCCAGGGAAAATTGGACAATGTCACCCTCGTGTCTTCGGGTCACATGGAGACCTTTTTCACCGCCGCCGACTGGTTCGTCAAAGTGCAAGACCGGAAGGGCGGCTGGAGCGTACCCGTGCAGCGACGCATGGCCAACGGGGCTCTGAAACTCGAACCCGGCTGGTATTCTGCTATGGCGCAAGGTCAGGCCTTGTCGGTCCTGGCAAGGGCGTATCACAGTTCCGGAGAGCAAAAATACGCGGATGCAGCGGGATCGGGTTTGGATTTGTTTGGGGTACCGAGTGGCAGTGGTGGAGTGAGGGCTGAGTTCCTGGGGAAGTTTGCCTGGTTTGAAGAGTACCCGACAACACCGAGCAGCTTTGTTCTCAATGGATTCATGTACGCGTTGATGGGATTGTATGATGCCGCGGAGATCCTTCCTGAACCCGCTGCTTCCAGAGCCAGTCGACTCTACAAGTTTGTGGCATTGCTTTGTATCTGATGGTGCACTGACCACGAAGAAATAAAAATTAAATATAAGCTTCAGAGGGGATTTTTTGTTGTTGGTCAAAATGCGAAAGAGAAATAATGTGAAGAATATTCGAGATACTGAAGCAAAATCCAGGAATAAAGCAAAGAACTTCATCAATACAGAGCACTCCTTTTCTTATAAATTAGAAAGGTGAAAAAAATTGTAACTGGCAAAATGCCAGAAAAAATAAGTTGTACCATTCAGGCATGAAAAAAGGATACGTTTTAATTTTAGAAAAAATATATGAATGTTGCCAAGGGCTGCAAATTTACTTGTTGTATGCTCTCTTCCATTCAACCCATTCTGACTTTTTGCCATTGTTGCAAATAGATGTCACAGATTTTAGTGTCAATTTCGTCAACCTTCATGAGGTGTTAGCCGAGCTGAGATACTTTATTTTAGTTTTGATCTGGGGGTTTTTTGGGTTAGGACAGGGGAAGTCAAGTTGGCTTAACTTTTTTTTTATTCAGGGCTACATCTGTTTGATTTTTCAAAAATTTAAGTTTCAGTGTGAACTTTTCATAATTGAATGTTTCGTGGTTTTTCATTACCTCTGCTTTTTTTGTTGCTACGGGTCGCTGTTTGATAGTTTTTTTTTCAATTTTCAGAGAAGGAATGGATTCCTTGAAAGCGATGTTGCCGCTTTTCGACACGGGATCAGGATCCGTTTATGACCTGAGGCACATGACTTTGGCAGAGTCTGGCGTGCCGCCGAATTTGGCCAGGTGGGATTACCATGCCACTCACATCAACCAATTGCTTCTTCTGGGATCTGTTGACCCTGACCCAGGAGTTTTAAATTCGGTGGCCAAACGGTGGATCGGATATATGTCTGGAAAACGGGCCCCTCACAACTGATCTGTTTCCGGTTGACACATGCCACTCATTGCGTTCTTCAAAAGACGAATAGGTTTGGATGAGCTCACGTGTTGACGAAATATGGGCTGTATGCGTTTTATCTTTTTTATTTTAATTATTGAAGTTATGAAAAGACAAGGATCATTTGCGTTATTCGCAATTTTTTTTTTCATTTTTACGAATGTTGATGCCTGACGATTAATTATACTTCTTTGCGTTTGAAATACCTCGGGTTGCCACACGAAGTGCCTTTGTTGTGCTATATTTCGCTTGAGTTTTGATCGAATGCTTCGGCTAAATGATCTTTTACTTGTACGCGTATCGATTCTTCGTGTCGGAGGGATTTTCTTTTTGAGTTCGCTGGAAACGATCTCGGCTTTGCCTTAAAAAAAGTTATAGTTGAAATTTTATTGTTCCTGTTCCGTTGATGGATTTTACGGGGGTTTGTTTGATGCTTTTCTTATTCTTGACCTGAGGTGAGATGTTCGTTAACTTCCGGGCTGTGATACGTTGACTGCCACTCCTCTTGCGAAGGGTGCAGCTTTTTTTCCACTTTATTAGATCTCGTGTTCGCTCTCTCATCTTCTACCTTACTTCTAGTTCGTCTTGCTGTCGTATTCGCGATTTTGTTTTTGTGACGCACCCGAAATCGGAAAATCGGGTTCTTCTGTAGAACCGGATTTTCTGGACATACTTCAGCTTTTACATTTGTCGCTACAGACTTGGAGATTATTTTATTTGCCTGGATTTTTAAATGGGGCTAATATGCGTTAGTTTAGTTTGGTTTGCGTTTTCTCGGGCTATTTTTTCTCATTTCAGTGATTCGTGCCGCACCTGTCAAACATCCCAGAAATCAAGGTTTAAATTGAGGTGAAAAAGATGGCAAATTTGTTTCAACAAGCCTACGTTTCACGGAGGTCCGTGCAGTTGATTTAGTACTGAATATCCATTTATGCCGATTGTAATCGAGATTTCTTTCGAAAGACAAAATTCGACTTAGCAAGTTTGATTTGTCCTGACACCGTTTATGTGATAAGCTGAGTCCAATGCCATGAAATGAGACCAACCATGTCTTGTGTTGCAACTGTGTGTTTCTGGTTACGTTTTACATCATTGGAGTGATTTACGCCAGAATTTTAATTTCTAAGACTTTCTTCAGACTGAAATGAAAATTCTTTCTAAATTGATAAAAATGGTAGAATCTTCTAGGAAGATGGGTTTTTCTGAAATTTTCATAATACTGTAATCGTAAAAGAGCCTTCGCAAATTATACCTTTTGATTAAATCTTAGTAACAGGTGAACAGATTGGTTAAATTCTAAAGTAGGAAGAGATATAATTTATTTCCCCTCTAAAATTATCTTTAAATATGAAATCGCTGAATCTTGTGGCATAAACTATCCGTTCAATTTAATTTTCTCGACAGAAGTTGCTTTTCGTTTTCTTCTCGGTTTTATCAAGTTTTGAAATTGATGTGTATTCCAATTTGTTGGGTCAATAATTAATTGAATGTATTGTTTGTTCAGCGAGAATGCTTTCGTGGAAAGAATTTGGCTTTAGATGGGTGGGAAATTAGTACGAGGTGTTGCCTGTCTTCGTTGATCGGATCGCGTCGTTCTAAATGATCTTTGACTTGTACGCGTATCGATTCTTCGTGTCGGAGGGATTTTCTTTTTGAGTTCGCTGGAAACGATCTCGGCTTTGCCTTAAAAAAAGTTATAGTTGAAATTTTATTGTTCCTGTTCCGTTGATGGATTTTACGGGGGTTTGTTTGATGCTTTTCTTATTCTTGACCTGAGGTGAGATGTTCGTTAACTTCCGGGCTGTGATACGTTGACTGCCACTCCTCTTGCGAAGGGTGCAGCTTTTTTCCACTTTATTAGATCTCGTGTTCGCTCTCTCATCTTCTACCTTACTTCTAGTTCGTCTTGCTGTCGTATTCGCGATTTTGTTTTTGTGACGCACCCGAAATCGGAAAATCGGATTCTTCTGTAGAACCGGATTTTCTGGACATACTTCAGCTTTTACATTTGTCGCTACAGACTCCGAGATTATTTTATTTGCCTGAATTTTTAAATGGGGCTAATATGTGTTAATTTAGTTTGGTTTACATTTTCTCGGGCTATTTTTTCTCATTTCAGTGATTCGGGCCGCACCTATCAAACATCCCAGAAATCAAGGTTTAAATTGAGGTGAAAAAGATGGCAAATTTGTTTCAACAAGCCTACGTTTCACGGAGGTCCGTGCAGTTGATTTAGTACTGTATATCCATTTATGCCGATTGTAATCGAGATTTCTTTCGAAAGACAAAATTCGACTTAGCAAGTTTGATTTGTCCTGACACCGTTTATGTGATAAGCTGAGTCCAATGCCATGAAATGAGACCAACCATGTCTTGTGTTGCAACTGTGTGTTTCTGGTTACGTTTTACATCATTGGGGTGATTTACGCCAGAATTTTAATTTCCAAGACTTTCTTCACACTGAAATTAAAACGAAAATTCTTTCTAAATTGATAAAAATTGTAGAATCTTCTAGGAAGATGGGTTTTTATGAAATTCTCATAATAATCGTAAAAGAGCCTTCGCAAATTATACCTTTTGATTAAATCTTAGTAACAGGTGAACTTTTGGTTAAATTCTAAAGTAGGAAGAGATATAATTTATTTCCCCTCTAAAATTATCTTTAAATATGGAAAACGCTGAATCTTGTGGCATAAACTATCCGTTCAATTTAATTTTCTCGACAGAAGTTGCTTTTCGTTTTCTTCTCGGTTTTATCAAGTTTTGAAATTGATGTGTATTCCAATTTTTTGGGTCAATAATTAATTGAATGTATTGTTTGTTCAGCGAGAATGCTTTCGTGGAAAGAATTTGGCTTTAGATGGGTGGGAAATTAGTACGAGGTGTTGCCTGTCTTCGTTGATCGGATCGCGTCGTTTCTTACGAAAGCGAGAATATCATCATTATTCTTTTGAAAGACACGGTCGAACTCTGAGCTATTGGAGTTCATTTGAGAATTGAGTGCTTCCAAGTCGAAACGGTCGATGAGTGAGATGATGTGTTTTTTCTTGAAAGAAAGAGAAAACGGTGTCGGGGGTTACGATGATGAAGGAAAAAAGGCGAGACTTGCTCACGGCGAGTCGATGCGGACGCGAGAGGAAGCAAAATGATAATCGTATTCGATATCTTTGTGTATCCACGTGTGCGGACGCAGGTTTTTTTGTTTTCAGAATGCCCTGAATGTGTGTCTCCTTTGTAATTGTCAGATCCTGAAGCAGTTTTGTAACCGAGGAGAAATGGGGCAATAGATGGAGTCCTGCGCTGTGCCTTGTGTCGATTTCTTCTTCCGATCAGACTAATTTTTTTCTTCGAGATTTTATAATTTAGTCTTATTTTTGCTTTTCAGACGAGACTGAGAAGCAGGCATCGATGTTTAGTAGCTTTTTTCCGCCTCGTGGGACACCCAATAGTGGTGAGTGATTCATTTATTATCAAGTGGAAGTTTAGTCAATTATTTTTTTTGGTTCATGCGTTAACTTCTACTTTCCTTCCTGTGGAATGGTTGAAGGATGGTTGAAACGGATCCAACGTAGGTCATTTGGGCTCAGAAGAAAGGTTACTGATGTGCTTGAACTTGAAAACGGATTCATTTTAAGCGATAATTTGTCATTATATTTGCTGTAGAAAGGTTCTACTTTATTCGGTTCTTTCCGGATGGGAGTTTATGCAATTGAATCGTGTTACAAAAATATACAGTATTGCGACCCGAGAAAAAGAACTCCATTGCTTTATAACAAAAATAAAACTGGTCATTGGGCAGGAGCCTAAAAAATTCATTTTTGGCAAAAATTCGTTTTAATAATATTCTACTTTAGTTGCATGGTTTGGAAATACCTATGAATAAGAGTGAAAAAAGATAAGCTTTTTTTAATGAAGTCCCCATTCATTCAGGTAAGATTCAAGAGCGAATGAATTCACAATTGAGAGCGCACACACTTGAATATATTGTAAGGCTGTCAATTTTTTATCGAATATAAAAAATCACATGTTGATTTTTGTCCAAAAGGTTGAGAAACACTACAGTATTTTTAGGCAAGTTTTCCTAACCTTTTTGGGCCGATTACAGACGCAGCAAACTTGGTCAAAATTTCTTTATATGGACTGTTTTTTGCATACCTGCACCTCTGCCAAGAAAAGAAAAAGTTTGTGAATCTGTCACCTGTGTACGTTAGGAGGATTTCTTAGCATGAAATATTTTTGCTTTTCAGACGAGACTGAGAAGCAGGCATCGATGTTTAGTAGCTTTTTTCCGCCTCGTGGGACACCCAATAGTGGTGAGTGATTCATTTATTATCAAGTGGAAGTTTAGTCAATTATTTTGTTTGGTTCATGCGTTATCTTCTACTACTTTCCTTCCTGTGGAATGGTTGAAGGATGGTTGAAACGGATCCAACGTAGGTCATTTGGGCTCAGAAGAAAGGTTACTGATGTGCTTGTACTCAATAGCGGATTCATTTTAAGCGATAATTTGTCATTATATTTGCTGTAGAAAGGTTCTACTTTATTCGGTTCTTTCCAGATGGGAGTTTATGCAATTGAATCGTGTTACAAAAATATACAGTATTGCGACCCGAGAAAAAGAACTCCATTGCTTTATAACAAAAATACTTTTAAAATAAAACTGGTCATTGGGCAGGAGCCTAAAAAATTCATTTTTGGCAAAAATTCGTCTTACTAATGTTCTACTTTAGTTGCATGGTTCGGAAATACCTATGAATAAGAGTGAAAAAGATGAGCTTTTTTTAATGAAGTCCCCATTCATTCAGGTAAGATTCAAGAGCGAATGAATTCACAATTGAGAGCGCACACACTTGAATATATTGTAAGGCTGTCAATTTTTTATCGAATATAAAAAATCACCTCATGTTGATTTTTGTCTAAAAGGTTGAGAAACACTACAGTATTTTTAGGCAAGTTTTCCTAACCTTTTTGGGCCGATTACGGACGCAGCAAACTTGGTCAAAATTTCTTTATATGGACTGTTTTTTGCATACCTGCACCTCTGCCAAGAAAAGAAAAAGTTTGTGAATCTGTCACCTGTGTACGTTAGGAGGATTTCTTAGCATGAAAGGGAATGAGCAATTTTTTTTCATTAAATTCCAGGGGTTTCAGTCCGACCTTCAAATGCAAGCAACCCATCTCTATAAGCCTGATTTTTCTGAGATTTTTGAACTGCAGGAGTGGGGTTTCATCTTGCATCACCCCTTCATGAATGTGTCACTTCCTTGCGCAGGGAAAATGTTTCTATAGGAGCCATCTTGCTTTTTTTATTTGCTATCCGATTAAAACACGGGTTAGCTGATCGTCAGGGAGTCTTGAGTCTGCGAATTTTTGCTTCTTTTAAGTACTGTAATTGAGTCTTACAGGAACCCTTTTAAAATTATCTTGTACAAAACACGCAACAGAAGTGCAGAGAGATTTTCTTTTCGGGTGAGTAAATTTTCCACCAAACTGTCGTAAAAGTGTATGCGGGTCAGCTTTTGAGGATTATTTCTTCATGCAGAAACATGTGAGAAACAAAATATAATAGTTTCAAGTTTCTTCCGAAAATTGTGATCAACCCTTCATACCTTGAGTTATAAAATTATTTCCATCGACTCCATGTATTTTTTATTTTCTCTATAGCGTGGGACCAGGCCAAGCCGGGGAATTACGACGAATTTTTATTATGGAAGAAATGGTTCAAGAAACTTACTGGTCACAGGTCACGGCCAGACATTTCAAGATTGTACGAGGAATTGCCCGGTGATCCGACGCAAGTTGCATGCAAGGTTTGTTCTAAATTTTTTTTTTTTCAAATAAGATTTAATTGCATTTCATAGGAAAATTCATTTTAAATCTGGGAGGTTATGTGTGATGCTTCTTTCTTTCGTTTTGTGTCTACGTGTGGACAAGATTTATTTTATCACATTTCTACGTTCCTATGAAAGTTAGCGAAATATATTCAAAAGTACGCAGCGTTATTCGCATGAATATCCAACTACGATATTGTCTCCTCTTCGCTGATTCAAAATAAATTTTAAAACCTTCATGCACGATCAAAAACGTTGAGTATACAGTACAGCGCATGTCTTACTGTGACTCATCAGACTTCCATGGTATTCGCTTATTATGAAGAACAGCAAGGCGATTATTTTTTTCGAATCCGTATATTTTTGAGCAACATAAAAATATCGTGGAAAATCTGCTGTCTTGAAAAGGTAGATGAAGAAAACAATTTATAATTTTGCCGAGTATAATCGAAATAAATCTTCACGCGATGAATATCCTGTCATTGTTTTAATTCCGACATTTTCCGTGGGGTTCAGTAAATTTTTTTTGTGTAATCACTGCAGATATCGCGGGGAAATCAATTCCCAAGCTAGAGTTCGAAGCTTCAGATATTCATGAAATGTAAATACAGTAGTTTCAGGAAAATTAAATCTTTGTATATGAGAACTGTTTCAAGGGCTTCCTTGACCAACTTATTTTCTATGCAGGATTCCATGTACCTGTTCAGTGGTGGCCTCGTCGAGTCACTGAACGGATCGGCGAACTTCTCCTCATCAGTACTGACAGCTAGATGGGATAATGTATGTAAGTACTTTACTGTATATAGTGCAAAGTCTTGGAGAAAGCTAAAGATATCGAACATTCGCATGCGAAAGCTGCTAAATTACATTCCACGTTGCAATATACAGATGCGTACGACTTGAAAGCGGATTTTCTTGACGCTGGAGCGAACGATGATGAAAGCGAAGATGTGTTACACATTCCGCGTATTGAAAACATTGGAGAATTCGACTGTGAAGACCCGGATGATCCCATCGGACAAATTTGTTCTCAGTATCGTGGTGAGTTCTTTATATTGACGCAATCAATTTCAAAATAATTTTTGCTGGTTTCTTGCACTTTGATTCATGAAATTTGCCGTTTTTCCATGTGCTGTTGTTGTCGTTGAGAGCAAAACTTCCTTTTGCCTCAGTACATCGTATAAGCCTGATTACCCCCTTCGAAAATAACTGCGCTGAATGTAATTGGAATTCTTTGTCTACAACCTTCAAAATTTTCACAATTCAGGAAGCAGAAATCCAATACCTGTACTGTATATAGGAAGGAGTCAGACGAATGTATCCAGGTAGACTCCCTCTCTCCAAAATTATTTTGTCTGCAACGATTTTCTCTCCACATCGGATTTTTTTTTTCTGGTCCCATGAATTTCGTTGTAGAGAAATTTCACGCGTAAGAACGAGTCAGTTATTCGCATAAAGAGACGAATACGATAGATTTTATAATAACATTTTTATCACTGAATTTATTTTTAAATTCCTGATTTTTCAGCTACTGTACTGTTGTTTAATGCATTTTTTACGCTTAAAATTGAAATTTTTGTTTATTTTTTTATAAGTATTTAGGACTAGCAATGAGGCAAAAATAAAAAAATCACCATTTTTAATTACATCTTCTGATCATTTGGGAAATGGACTTTTGGAACTGAGATGAGTATCGACAGATTTCTTTCTACCGCGACTTAAGTACGATGTACAAATTCTTTGAAAATGTCACTAATTTACCCACATGAAATTCTTACAGCTACCGACGAAGCAGTTTTGGTTGCCGTAAGATTTCCCAAGGAGTTGAAGTTTCTCGAGCTTTCGAGATCTTCTGAAGTCGAAGGTGGCGAAATTTCGTTCAAAAAAATTGGCTCGCCGTCGATTGAACTTGAGTGCATGAAAACTGCACGGTTCGCTCACTTCGAGTTTGACTCTTACCGACCGGGTATCGGTTTGGCTTCCATGTCAAATGGCGGAATTTTTGCGTATGATGTGGAAACTGAGTAAGTTTTCCCCTTCTTGTTTTCTTGTTGTGCATCTGGTATAATTCGGAATAAATTGAACTTTCAGTCTGTGTATATTACGTTTGCGAAATACAATCACGCTGAGTTTTTATTCTATGTGAGTAGATATGATACCTCAAATTAAAGTTTTGATTAATTTTTCGACAGAATGCGGTTACTAGTGGCTCCGTGTACTTTTATTTTCATACTGCCATTCGAAAACGATAAAAAAAAATCACAAGCGTAAATTTATGCGTTTCGTCATTTTTGTGTATCACGAAGAGCGAAGAAAATTTTTTTCAGAAATTCTAGCGCACAAGTTATTCTTAGCTTGATGAGCTTGAATTTGTCTTTTGTTCTGAGCCGAGTCGCTTTTTCATATTCTGATATAGTCATTCATTTTTTTTCTGTACTTGGTTTCAGTTATCTTTCCATTGTTGCTGTTGCCTTGTCAAAAGAGGACTCGAGACCATTTGAGCCATGGTACAAAACGCTTCCGACAAAGCATCCCTACGTGGCGTATTGCGCGGATAGAACACGATTTAGAATCCTAGATTTGAGGGTGAGTTAAGCATTTGTTTTTCTATGCATTTGCCAATTACAGTATTTCCTGGCCTAAACAAACCTTTTCAAAGTTATATTTTGAATCCTCGCACGTCATAATAACGGGGAGTGTTTTTTTGCTGCAATTTTTTTCCAGATGACGGCAGTTTCGAGCTCGGTTTCTGAATTCTCCATCGTAAAGCCGGATGAGAAAATCACGGAAGAAGTTTTCAACTTGGAGGTCATTCGAAGTCCGAACGTGGAGGAAAGTAAAATATTGGTCATCACGAGCAACGACGTCCTATGCTTTGATCGTCGTTTTCTCGGCCCTCGTCCTATTTGGCGGAAGAAGCATCTCATGGATTGTGCTCCTTTGTATGCGACTTTCCTTCCCGAAAGTGTTGACGGACAACCCATTTCAGAAGGTTCGTAATTACAATTAAAGTTGACTTGATTCAGGAGTTTCTTTCATGTCTTTTGCGCCCCTTTTTGGTGAATGAATGAAGATGGACATCAGTTTTGATCATGTGGCAATTTCTAAAATAAAATGTTATTGGATATTTCTGCGTACCAGTGAATGTAAAAAATCTCTTCGAGTACTCACTATTTATGGTTCTTTACTTCTTTATGGCAAATTTCCAGCAAATAATTGGACATAACCCTTTGTGTAGCAAATTTGTAGCACACGCTCTGCTGCTATGTGGAACATATTAAGCCCTCTCATCAGGACTTTTACTATGCCCACTTTTGCTGCAACTGAGGAAAACGCCAAATTTAGCCGAGAAATTCAAACATAATAAGACATGCGTATGCTACACATGCTGTTATTTTTTACACTGCTATGCTTGCCTTATTTGCTGGGTTGCATTTCTCCATCATGTGCATCAAAATGGACGTTGCTCAGTTTGCCACTGGGACACCTTTTTGCCTGTCCCAGTTTACTTTTATTTCCTGTGCACATCTAACTTGTTGGAATGTGCACAAGCACTTTCTTAGCAGTTACTCATTGTTGGGCTGGACTTGGCTTTGAAGATTGTGGTGTGAAATATACTTTATGGCAGGGCTTTTCAACCAGTGGTACGCGTACCCCAGGGGGTACGCGAGTGCTTGCCAAGGGGTATGCGCCCACTGTCCACTAAAAAAAAAAAAAAAGTCGTGGGCCACCTCACTCAGCATAGTCAGGAACAACTTCCCAAAGATGACGACTCAAAATTGTTTAAATCATTTCTATTCTCATAAAGTTGTAGCCCTGGGAAATGTGATTTATTCTGCCCAGATTGCCTTTTTTCAAAATTATGTGCACTGTATTTTTGGGTTTCTCTTTTACATAAAAAAAATTGTGCCTGTTTTCTGTTCAGCAGATGAAAAGTTTAACAGTGTCCTTTTCATTTTCTGAAGAACATCATTTGAAAACAGTTCTTCAATTTAAAGAAAGGGCAGACATGAATCATCAGCATGATATTTCAGGGAATAATTCAAAAATTGAAAAGCACAGTGAGGGATTAATAATTGAAATGTTGAGTTTTTCCTCCTGGCAGCAAAGGTTCCATCCATCCAAGGGAAAGAGTGGCATGCATACGTTTTCCCTGGTCTCCCCCTTTAACCCTTCTGCAGCAAAGTTGGACCTTTTTTGCAGATTTTGGCTGCACTCAAAAATGGCATTTAAAAAAACCATGACAGAGTGTGTAGGGCAAAGTCAGGAAAAATCCTGGCATTTTTAAAATTCCCTACAGAAAAATTTCACTTGGAAATGAAAAAAAGGAATCTTCAAGGCACCCTTTTTCCCCTGGCCTTGTGTGGCTCCCCCATTCAAAGATTAAATTTAAGCTTGAAAGCAAGGAGCCAAGCTTAGAGGTCAATATGGAAAAAGTCTAACTTAGGACTTTCCCAGCATTTCTTTATCTCCAGAAAAAATCCACCTCTGCCTTCCCCACCTGGAAGGGGTTGCATAAACTTGTGCAAAAATGTTATGCAGGCCCAAGGGGAAAAAGTCCAACTTTGCCCTGGGATGGAAAGGAGGCTGCCTCCACACAAGGATTAAATTGGACATTTTGAGTATGAGTGTTGGTTCTTGATGGCCATAGTTCAAAATTCATGTAAAAAAATTCCCAGCAGTTTTTTAAATTCATCTGGGAGGACATTTTTGCAGTTCTGCTGCATTTTTTGGTGCCAATACTACAGACAACATTGTGGTTTGCATATGTCAATAAGCCTAATCACTGCTGCAGGAAATTCTGTGGCTTGTTTTTTTCCTGAATTTCAAGTTTTGTTGGCTGAACCCACTCATTGCCACAACTGTAGTATGGAAATTTTACTGCATTGAAATAATGATTTCCTAATTTAGAAAAGAGGCCTCATTGTTTTCCTTAAAAACACACCTTTAAAAATCCGGAATAAGTGATGCATCAAGGTAAATGGGGATGCACCAGACTGGTGATCAAAATTTGTGGACAATCTTTCTGGAAGCCCAAAAGATTGTCCACAAATTCTGAATATACCTAATATATGTGCTTTGGTAAAAATTGAAAATTCGTTCTTCAGGCTTGCCATGCAGCTTTCTGGGTAATTCAAAATACACAATTTTTTGCATATGAAAAGAAAACAAATTATATTTTTATGCCAATATTTCAGGCTAGAAATTTCTAATTTAGATTTTTGAAATTACCTAAAATTCATGGAAATTTTCAGATTTCTCCTGAAATTATGCCAATTTAATATTCCAAAAAACAGATAATTTTTTATCAAAATGAATTGTGATTAGTTGTTTTTCTGGATCCAGAATGTCTGAAATTTCTCATCAAGAGTATAACCACATTTATTCAAGTAGATGATTATTAATTTAAAAAGTAAGGGATTACATTTGATTTTGAATGAGATTAGAATTTTCAATTACAATTCCAAAGACATGGTTTATTATATGACTTACACCTACATATTAACTCACTAGGGGTACATGCCTGTTCCTGAGGGTGAAAAGGGGTACGCGCCTGAAAAAGGTTGAAAAGCCCTGCTTTATGGTGCTAATCAATGTTCTATAAAGAGTTGGTGAATTCAGAACTCCCCGGTTGTAAAGATAAAATTCTCCTCTCTATCTCTGTAAAAGTTAGTTGTCCTTGAATTGATTTGAAATGAGAAGTTTTAAAACCAGCAGAAAGATGTTTTTGGTGGAAAGACAATTTCCATTTCAGAGCAAAATGTAATATAAAAATCATTAAGAATGGAAGAGAGTGCAAATTATGCTTTGAATTTTGAGATGTATTTACATTTTACCAGGAACTTTGATATCCAAATATTCAGAGAAAAAAGCCATTTCAAAAATCATTAGCGATGAAAGAGAGTGCAAATTATGCTTTAAGTTTTGAGATGCACTTGACATATTGACTTGACTTGAGAAAGTTTGACATCCAACTATTCAGAGCAAAATGCCATTGCTATCACGAGCAACGACGTCCTATGCTTTGATCGTCGTTTTCTCGGCCCTCGTCCTATTTGGCGGAAGAAGCATCTCATGGATTGTGCTCCTTTGTATGCGACTTTCCTTCCCGAAAGTGTTGACGGACCACCCATTTCAGAAGGTTCGTAATTACAATTAAAGTTGACTTAATTCAGGAGTTCCTTTCATGTCTTTTGCGTCCGTTTTTGGTGAATGAATGAAGATGGACATCAGTTTTGATCATGTGGCAATTTCTAAAAAAAAATTTAATGGATATTTTTGCGTACCAGGGAATGTGAAGAATATCTTCCGTTACGCACCATTTATCGTTCTTTACTTCTTTATGGCAAATTTCCAGCAAATAATTGGACATAACCCTCTGTGTAGCACACGCTCTACTGCTATGTGGAACATGTTGAGCCCTCTCATCAGGACTTTCACTGTGCTACTTCTGCTGCAACTGAGGAAAAAGCCAAATTTAGCTGAGAAATTCAAACATAATAAGACATGTGTATGCTACACATGCTGCTACAACAGGTTGTTATATTTGACACTGCTATGCTTGCCATATTTGCTGGTTTGCATTGCTCCACATGTGCATCAAAATGGACGTTGCTCAGTTTGCCACTGGGACACCTTTTTGCCTGTCCCAGTTTACTTTTACTTCCTGTGCAAATCTAACTTGTTGGAATGTGCACAAGAACTTGCTAAGCAGTTACTCATTGTTGGGCTGGACTTGGCTTTGAAGATTATGGTGTGAAATATACTTTATGGTGCTAATCAATGTTTTATAAAGAGTTGGTGAATTCAGAACTCCCCGGTTGTAAAGATCAAATTCTCCTCTCTATCTCTGTAAAAGTTAGTTGTCCTTGAATTGATTTGAAATGAGAAGTTTTAAAACCAGCAGAAAGACGTTCTTGGTGGAAAAACAATTTCCATTTCAGAGCAAAATGTCATTTTAAAAATCATTAGCAATGGAAGAGAGTGCAAATTATGCTTTGAATTTTGAGATGTATTTGCACTTTACCAAAAACTTTGATATCCAAATATTCAGAGCAAAATGCCATTTCAAAAATCATTAGCGATGAAAGAGAGTGCAAATTATGCTTTAAGTTTTGAGATGCACTTGACATATTGACTTGACTTGAGAAAGTTTGACATCCAACTATTCAGAGCAAAATGCCATTGCAAAAATCAATAACAATGAAAGAGAGTGCAAATTATGCTTTGAGTTCGGAGATGTATTTGTACTGTACGAGAAACTTTGACATCCATCAGATAACTTATCTGCAAAATAGTGACAAAACTTCTGAACCAACACTCATGTTCCATGGTGACCTTCTCTTATTGTGTTTTTTGAAGCACCTTTTAAAATCAACCCTGTCATTCATTCCTGGGTGCTCATTTCCACATATTTTCTCATAGTCAAAAGATTTGCTACTGAATTATATTTTTCATCGACAGATTATCCACCGGGATCTTTGGTACTAGCTGGACACGAACCCAACGCAATATCTATTTTCGATTTGAGGGAAGAAGGAAGAAGAGCACCGAGTGAGCAAATGGCTTTCGAAGCCCCGATGACGAGTCTCGGTGGTTGCGAAATCCGTCCATTTTGGAGCTATAGATCATTGGCAACTCCGCAGGAAGTTTGCAGGCGCCTCGTGGAAAGAGGAGAATTTATGACCGATAAATCGATGGACGAATGCGGTCTGCCGATGCTCGGATTTGCGAATCATGTCGTCAATCTCCCGTGAGTGTTGAAACTGATGAAATGTACAATTTAAATCTTAAAGTGCGTACAAATACCGAGAACAAATGCTCTGTGATCTGATTTCGACTCTATTGTACGGGGATGTTCTCCGAAATACCTGTAATTTTAATTTTTATGTTTTATAAAACTTTTACAGGAAGCAAGGTAAAATGCAGACCCTCCTGACGACTATCGGCACGGGATGGAACACCTTATTTGCCAGCGTTAAAGTTGAAACGGAGTCCGAAGAAAAGTGTGCTGATGTATCCTACCAGTTTTGTGAAGGAACTTACAGAAGCGTCTTCGATCCACGAGAGAACGAGAAAGGGCAGAGGTCCGTCGATGTGTTTGTGGGAATGCCTCCACATCTGAAGAGAGTTGTCGTAGGTTAGTTGTCTTGACGTCCTTGTCCTAATGATGAGCTTTATACTATTTATGGGGTTTTCTTAATCTTAATGATTGGTAGACTCGTAGACATATCTTCCCCCTGCCGACTATGAGTTGCTCACCCTTGAGGACATCCCTATAATACCATGTATGTGCTAGTGAAGTAGTTTCTATCCTCAAGTTAAATCCCGTTATTTTCGAAGGTCCTCGATAGTATAGTGGTCAGTATCCCCGCCTGTCACGCGGGAGACCGGGGTTCAATTCCCCGTCGGGGAGGATGTTTTTCCATCCACGCATGGTACCCGCAATGAGTTCAAAAAAATGAGACTGCGAGGTTTTTTAATGACGAACTGCATTATCCTCGGGGCGATCTTCAATTGCCCAACTTTAAAATTTAAGCATAAATGCATGAATGAACAGGTGTTTTTGACAAGAAATAATGCCAAAAATCGCTTCATTTTTAAGCAACCAGCATGTCTCCTAAAAAGTTGCAACTCTTACTTAAAATGAACATCCATCGCAAAAGACGTAAAATTGAAGTTCTTCCGGATCTCTTTAAAATTTTCCTTTTTATTGATATAATTAAATTTAAAGTTTGAGTTGAAATTTTGAGAAAATAAACACAGTTTCACCTGACGCGATAATTGCCGAAATGATTTTTTCTCGATGAGGGATGTCCAATAAGGTTGAACATAAGAAACTCTCGCTTTTATCTCAGTAATACACGTTTTTAGTACGCGTGTTCTGTTTTTATAACCAATTGAACTGAAAACTTAAAGATGACATAATTTTTAAGATTATGAGTGAACTTTGAAGTCACATTATTTTCAATTGACAGATATCCCTGAACCTTTTCAAGATGTATATACAGTATAAACTGTTATGTCAAATGCATGTGTATATATACAGTATACAGTTTACTGTATACATATGTATTTGACATAAAAGTTTGAAGTATTATGGTACAGTGTTCCCCAACCCGTGGTCCGCGGATTTAGATTTTCCAAATCTAAAAATTTGGAAAGACAATGATAGTTAAAATCATTTGTTGAATAGTAAAAGTTGGCTTTTATCCTAATAACACTTCAGACACATTTTTACCTGCTGAAATAAATTATTTAAATTTTTCATTCTGAGAAATCTTTCACTTGCAAGTCCACCTTTCTAATTTTTTGATGACATTAAGCTATAGCTGCTTCATAGGTGCTCAACTTAATTTTTTCAAGAAGCAGAAACTTTTATATTCCTCCTATAAACTCTATCAAGCACATTTTGTTCAAGTCTGTGAAAATTTTTTGAAACTTTGCGGATCTGCAGAAATTTTTTTGGGAATTTGTCGGTCTGCAAAAAATTTTGTGGAAATTTGCAGGTCCGCGGACCCAAAAAGGTTGGGGAACACTGGTCATTACATTTGTTTTGTCCATCTGAAATCCACTGCCTATTATTATTCTTACAGGAACACCCAAGAAACCCGGGTTTCGAATCAGACAGCGTATTGTCGGAGACAAGAAGCTGTTCGACAGCAAAAGCGAGTCATTGAGAAAATTCACTCGAGATATACTGGATAAGAAGCGTGAAATCGCGTTTGCCGGCGGTGAAAGTTTCGAACACTTGTGCCGTGGTGAAAAGTGTGATGGCTCATTGAACGGGGGAAACGCTGATTTCAAGTTGGAAAACATGGACGTTGAGTCGAGTGTCGCGGAAATTGAAGCCAAAATCGCGTCCGCCAAGTACTTGTTCGTCCCCGGAATGATGAGCAGTCTTTATTTGGAGGACGAATCCGGGGGGGAAATGAACAAAGTGGCGAAAGAAGCCCTGGCCGAGATCCGGAGGCACATGGAAATCATCCCGACGAATTCCCCGTATTTGCCAGGGAAGAATGTTGAGTTGAAATTGAGCGAACCGGAATTTACGGAAGAGGAGCGCGAATTTTTATTTGGCGGTGAATCCGAGCAGCCCGTAGTTTTGGACAACTTGATGAAAGAAATTCTTGCCAACACCGTCGATGAGAGAAGTCGTGAGTACATTTAAAATAAAAATCAAATTCAAGTAAATTTTTGCTTCGGGATTTTTTATGAAGAAATTCCACTGATGAACTTGTTGAGCAATGATGGACACTTTCTCGAGGGTATTAATGATTCTCTCTACAAGGATAATATGCGTATACTGAGCAACGAATTTTCATTGGTCCAGTGTGAAATGTAGTTCTGTGTAGTGAATCTGTCTGGATTTTGAAAAATTCGGCCGTAAAATTGTTAACTGTTCTATTGAAGCTGAAAAATATTTTACATTTGAACCTGGATAACTCCAACTTCCTTTGATAGAATTCCTCATTATGTTAAATTTTTTCGGGTCCATGTCGAAATTCCCTTGGAAACAATGCATTAAAAGCCTCTCTTAACTCGAAGGCTTTTCCTCTCAAACCTCCATAACTTGAAGCTTCTAGATTCCTTTGGCTATTATTTTATTGACACAGGAAAGAGAAAAGCAATAAAAATGTGACCATGTGTTTTGAAAGGAAGTAATGGATGAATTGGGTAAATGAAGCCTTGCCTCCAAGTTCAGCATCCTGTCAAATCATTTAAGAAGCAATTTAAGGCCTGAACTATCACTAATTACAATTTCCTGTAATTATACTTTTTTCCCCCAACCCAAAGTTCTTGTTTCCCTTACTCAAAACTTCCGTGAATCGGATTTTTTACTGGTCTCATGAAGCCATGAAGTTTGACTTGAAGAGATTCCACTCTTCGTTTTTTTTTTCATAACAAAAAAATTGGTTGTGAAGAAATGAAAATAACAGACTATCAAGGTTGGAACTGAAGTGAGATACAGTGTAAAGGTTTAATCTCTTTACAATGAAATTCAGGGGATCAGAAGAAAAAAAAGGTTGTAAGAGAATTTCATTGTAGAGAACCCTTCTAAAATTTGTAGTGAACCCCATGGGAATTAAAATAATTTATGTTTTACCAATTACAATTTCCCGTGATTATTGTTCATTTTCCCTCTGACAAAAATTTTTTCTTCTGCTCCCTTGAAATTTGACTTAAAGAGGTACAGCTGTAAAAGTAATGACCATTTGTTCTTTTTTCTTGCCTTCACTGAAACAGTGAGAAAGACTGTGGTCAAGTTGGATGAGACAGAAGTGAAGCGCAAAGTTGCGGAAATGAGCATATCGAGTTTCATGGACGCCACGCAGAGCACCGACTTGAGTCAATGCGAAGCATCACTAGCCGAAGAAAAGGTGGAGAAGTACGACTTTAGGAAGGCCTGTGCCGATATTCCGATTCGGTGGAGAATCCCGAGAAGTGGTAAGCATAGTAAAATTGCCCCTCATGGACCATCGAGAATCGCCGATAGGTTGAACAAGGGCAAATACGGTCGCATGATGGAACCGACTATTGCAGCTGCTGAAGCTTTGTTGTGAGTTTTTTTCTGCTTCTTTATTACAGTATTATGCCTGTGATTTTATTTTTCCCCGTTGGGTAAATTTATTTCCTCGTCTTGAAAAAATATCAACGGATGAGTAATGAGTTAATATACCTTCTGTCAACGCGATGCAATTATTTTATCATTATTCGTACAACATGTAAATCGATTTATTTCCCCGAAAAAAAATTGCTTTTCGTTGAACCCAGATTATTATTCTCGTGAATTCCGTTGCTTTCTCTGTTGCTGTTCAATCGAGTGCCCTTTATGTGGATAGATGTCGTTGGCAGTCATACGAAATAATTGGTTAACGTTACCCCGTACAACGAAATTGTTTTTGCTACCGCCCTGAATTTCTTGTTCTGTATTTATAAAGGGGCCCTTGTTGATGACAAGACTTCCCCGATCGATATAGGCGTAGGGAATTGGTTTTTTTTTAAATTATGTATATTTTTTATTTGCATACCGAGCCTGAATTAGTCATTTTTCCAAATTCAGTAACGTATTTTCCCGAGGCTTTTCCTGAAGCCCATTTTATTCTAAATGTTCGAATTAAACGAAAATTTTGTTCAATTTTTGTTGAATTAGACCAATAGATTTTATCTGATAACATTTTGTGACCTGCTATTTTTAAATTGGGTAATTTTATGTATGTATTTTTAATTTTAAAATGAATTACGTTTTGAATGCGATTCGTCGATTTAAAATACATCTACGGAAAAACCTTGGGAAACGAAGAAATCAATTCTCAACGACAAAAATAATGTCAACAAATACCGCATCCAATTTGAAAATGGTGCTGTCTTTCAAATGCCTCACCTTCATGCAGTCCATTATCCGAAGCAGCGTATATTGTCCACATCGCAAATATTGTGAAATCCTGAGTCGGTCCGGCAAAACATTTGAAAATTGTTTATTACTGTATTCAGATTTAGCCTCTGCTTCATCTAGATGTCGCCTGATTCCATGAAAAAAATTTTGTCTTCCCAGAATGAAAGAGGTTTATGCCAACAAGGGTTTGTATCTCGGAGATGCGAAGAAAGTCGGTGGAGAGTTTTGGGGCACCATGCGGAGAAAGCGGTTGTTGGCAGAATTTTTGGATATCACGGGAACTCCGCAGGAAAAGTCTAAATGGCGTCCAGTGTCTTCTTTGAATGTTTCTAAAGTTGCGAGAGCAATGGAAAGAGAAGGCATTCCCCTGAGCTCGAAAACTGGGATAATGTTGAAACAACCAGAAAGAATGGATGAGGACGACAGTGAGGACGAACAAGAGAGTAGTGATGACGTGGAGGAAATATCCGACGACGAGGAAAGATAATGTTGGTGATACATCTGGAGAATTGATTTCGTTGAATCGAGTACGTGCCTTCGTATATTATTTCTGCTTCGAATCGAATATTTTCGCGTTTTGTTAACGTTGATTAGTGAAACCATTGGTATGAAGCGAGATCTCAAAAAACATCTTTGCGTCTTATTTGGGCTGACTTTCTGATTTCACATTCTTCTGGAGAAATTCGAGATCACGAGAAATCTGAATAAGTATAATACCGTATCATTTCAGTGTGCGGGCAAGAAGAAATTACCTGCTCTGGTTTCTAATTTGTTTCAATCCCCGAGGGGCAGACAGGAAAATAATCTTACTTGAACTCTCATCAACAGGCAGACAACATGATGGGTGCGCGTGTATATACCGTATAGAGATACCCATGAAATTTGGGTTACGTCGCTTCGAGGCGTGTCAGAAATGGAAGTGGGTTACCCCGATCAAGCCCGGGGCTCACGTGTACGAACCTGTTTCGTGTTCACCTTTATATTGCAGTACTGTGGTTGAAAAAATTATATTCGCTGGAAATTACGAAGTACTGTACTGCTAAAGAATTTTAAAATGGGACTCGGACTTTCGTGCTCTTTTTGACAACTAATACTGTATTGTATTCAGTACTGATGTCGCAACCCTAGATAAATATCCCGCCTGCGGAGCTTTTGAAGTTGCTTCAAGGGAATTCAAATTCATGTGTGTACATTAACTACTCGGAGATCAGCGACTTGTTATTTTCCATAGCTTCGCCTTGATGTTTTGAGCTCAGTGAAAACCCAAGTTTTGAAAATTAATGCCCAACTTTAACGTATAAATTTTTTTGCGAATGATCAAAAATTCCGTTCGGAAATGTGGGTGTGCTTTGTCCAGATTGAGAGTTGCATTTCTTGAAGTTTTTCTTTTAAATAGAAAAAACTTTTATCCAGGCGATGTTTTCTGTGTAGAGGATGCAGATGCAGCGACATAAAATTTCTTATTTAATACTGCAGCATAAATTTGCGTTGAATGTCGTGAAACAGGTTTCGACATTTTTACCCTCCGATACATTATAACCCGTTTTTCTCCTCTTCCGCGCAATTAACCTCTCTGGGGAATTATTCGCTCGCTGCATATTCTGAGACTTAAGCAAAGTTCAGTGATTCCGAACTCAAGAGGAATCATCAACACGATTATACTTCCTGATTATTACATGCATTACCATGTTCAATGAGGCATTCTAGCGATAAATGCGCATTCAATATGGTGCTAATGCGAGAAGATTATTGGTTCTTGCAGATACATTAATGCCATAAGCAGCTTTCTGATGCGTTACGGCGCCAACGTGACGTTTTCCAGATGAGAGCTTCTCTTTCGACTGACTAACACCATGTGTGTTCCGAGCTTGATATAACCTTGAATACGGTGAATGCCCGAGAAACATGGTGCATTCGATGCATATTAACTCGACATTTAACCCGGGTCACAGGGTTCGTTTGCATCGTAATGCGATTGAACCTTTACTTGCTTTTAGTAATGGTGCCTTCATAATCTCTCCGAGAGTTTTGAATCTGAGAAACGTATACGTGATAGATATTGGCTTTTATTTTCTTCTACTGTATTGTGTTGATTGAATTTTTGGTTTCTACAATGCGAAGCCCAATTCAAGCTCGTTTACACTTTTAGGATATCATCACGGGTAAGAATATACAATTATTACTTGTGCCCAGCTAATGGTTCAAATCTTTGACAGGTTTACAGTATGTAGAACCCTCCACCAAGTGGTGATTACGGAAATTCATGACATGTAAGGAAATTTTTTCCAAAACGGAGTTTCAGTTGCATTCGCATTGTTTTCAATAATTGCACGTAAAATATTTTCTGGGTCCCAATAAGTTTTCTGAATGAAGTAGATTTTACTGTATACCTTACGCACACTAATTGTTTGAAAAAAAAGCAAAACCGACAGATTTTTAAAATTAGCTTTTATTCAATCTCCGAGCCTGTGATCCACAATAGCATTAGGGAATGCAAATATCCTCTCACTTTTGATTTCCCGAAAAAAATAGGCCATTCTACTCAAGAAATAAAAGCACCAAATTTCCATTGCGGACGGGGGAAAACAAATAGACAAGTCTGCAAGCTATAACAAAAAATAAAATAAAAACCTCTGTCTATGAATACATACAACGAATGGAAATTATGCAGGGGCAGTTGCGACATAAGGAAATTTCCAGCCTTTTCTCAAAATATTGCACTCAGTCCCTCATTTCGATACTCTGGGACTTAATAAACATCACACATGCACAAAAAAGACGAGGGACAAAAAAAACTGAAAGGAAAGTTAGCATGAGGGGTCTGAAGTCGGTGGGAAATTTCTTGAATGTTTACTTGTTGTGGGCCTTGTTGTTTTGGCCAGCTGGGGCAGCAGCAGCAGCGGATTTTTCAGCCTCGGGAACCAGCTGAATATCACGAGGTTCGTGTGGCGCCGGCAACTTGTCCCAAGAGGGTTCCACGCCCCAAATTTCGCGACCATAGTCGGCGATTGTGCGATCCGAAGAGAATTTACCCGCTGATCCGATGTTCATGATGGCCATTTGTGTCCACTTTTTCTGGTTCTTGTAAGTCTCGGACACACAGTCTTGCGCCTTCAGGTAAGCATCATAGTCCGCCAATACATAAAACCTGAAATGAATTCATTTGGTCAGCTTATTTGAAGCTAGAAAATGGCTTTGCAACCAATTTCTATACATGGAGATGTTGTTAAATTTCATCCTTGGCGTTCGGTTAATCAATTTCAAACGAACGGACAGAAGATTAGACTCCATAAAAATTTTAAATATCAACTTCAAACTCGCTCATTGAGGCCTTACGAAATTTGCAGCTGAAGATTGAGAGAGAATAACATTTCACCTGTCGTATTTGAGCAGAACGTCAACGACATCCTTGAATTCGTCGGGATTCCCGGGCGAGAAAAATCCGTTGCGGATCTGGTCGATGACCTGAACCAGCTCCTGATTTTTTTCCAAGTACTCATTCGCGTTATAGCCCTTCTTTTTCAGCTCCTCGACCTCTTCCACCTTCATGCCAAAGATGAACATGTTCTCTTGGCCCATTTCTTCCGCCATTTCCACGTTGGCACCGTCCAAAGTGCCGATAGTCAGGGCACCGTTCAGCATAAACTTCATGTTGCCAGTGCCGGATGCTTCAGTGCCAGCAGTGGAGATCTGCTCTGACAAGTCCGCCGCAGGGATGATCTTTTCTGCCATAGTTACGCGGTAGTTTTCTAGATACACCACCTAAGGGAAAAAATGGCGTTACTTGAAGAGACACGATTTCAACTGACAGTGACACTTGACACAATCTTCGCAATTACATTGAAATACCATATTTACTCAAGTACCACTCACCCTAGAGTAAGACACGCACCAGGATTTTTCTGTCAACATTTTTCATAAGATTGAATCCCCAAGCAAGACTTGCACCATATCAATGGTGATTTATTTAAAAATGCAATATTTCAAAAGTAAGAACGCCCACGATTAAATTTAGACATGGATTAGTCAGGGAGGAGGCCATAGCTGATTGATCATGAATTCAATTAATTTTCCAATTACTTCCGTTAAAATAAGTTTCTCCGTTAAAATTGTTCCGAAGTTTACAATTAGAATTAAATATGATGCACACCAAAACTTGTGAAACTTTTTGAAAAATGTATACTCGGCCATATGACGCTCACCATTTTTTCCCTTTTCAATTTTGAAAAAGAATTATATGTAAATGAATGCACGTGGTACTTGGGTAAATACAGTGATACCGCATTTTCGTGTACTTCCTTTCAGAATTTGAGTCTAAAAATGAAGCTACCATCACAGTTTGGGGGGGGGGGGGGGGGGTTTCCTTGAAAAATTTTTTAAAAAGNGGGGGGGGGGGGGGGGGGGGGGGGGGGGGGGGGGGGGTTTCCTTGGAAAATGTTTTACAAACGATAAACTTTTGCATCTTATACAGGGATGAGATTTATCCAAAATTATACCTCAAAAAAGTATAGTGTGTATTCTACTTGAGGGCACCTAGTTCTTGACTCGACGGATTGGGCCCCAGATAGAAAATTTCAGCAAGTCTACTTAAAATTTCCAGCTGAAAAGTGAATTCGAAAGACTCGACAAAAATCGGGAGCTGAATTGAATCCTTTTTAGACCACTCAGGAAGTTTGAAGAATTTTCTGTCCTTGTTCTTATTCTGGAAAATAAGGACATGGATATTTATTTCATTATTTTCGCAGTAGATGATGCAAATCAGAACAGCTTACTGAGGAGGTATGCTGAACTATATACACTGGAGGTAAACAGCTGATGGAAATCGTACGACATTACTGTAGGGGCTTCAGTTATCCATGAATAGAAATTTGCATACAGTACAACCGCAGTACCTTCAGACGGTCGCCAACGACAGGATCATTGTTGACAATGTTGCCGACGGAACAGAGCAACTTGATTATCTTCTTGGCCATGTAATACCCGGGGGCCGCTTTGCCGCCGATCATGCAAGTCCTGGGTACAATTGCCGCCTTCGGGTTGCGCTTGATACGGTTGTACAGCGTGATGATGTAAAGGCAGAACAACAGCTGCCGCTTGTACTCGTGGATGCGTTTCACCTACGCACAAAAACAAAACAAAACAAGAAGAGGACGAACAATAAAATTATTAAACTCGATTTCCACGCTAATAATTGCAGCAATTATTCTAGAGATATTCTTCCTCTCCATCTATATGCGGGCTATCGAAGACGAAATTAATTTCGCAGGAGCATATTTGAGTTGTCAATACTTCTAGTAGATGGCGTTTTAACGGGGTTTTCAATGCTATTGTCATAAAGGAAGATTTTTTAAATAATTGGCGGTTGCCGAGTGTGGCGGCTATCGAGGGCGCCTTTTTGAATTGACTTTATATGCTAATTTACCTGCACGTCAAAGAGGGACGACGGATTGATCTTGATATTATAGTTGGCCTGAAGCCAGTCGGCAAACTTGAGCTTGTTGCCCTGCTTGATGGTCTGCACATTGCGAAGGAAACCAGCGTCGTCCTTGAAGCGCTTGACCTCTTGCAAACGGTCCAAGTGCACGGGCCATTGGTCGCCTATCTTCTCGGCGATTCCATCAGACAGAGCAGGATTGCACAAAAGCAGCCAACGACGAGGCGTGATGCCGTTCGTCTTGTTCTGGAACTTCTCTGGCATCATTTCGTAGAAATCCTGCGAAAGTGAAAATTATATTTTTATTTTTTCTCACTTTTTTCACGGAGTGCATGATAGTAAAATCGTATGACAAACCTTTGGGGACTTCAGAAGCCTTTTTTTTCATATAGGCACTGTACTAAATTTATTACAAGATTTTCAAACTTAATGATGTCATGTACAGTAATCTTGCTTTCCTGGCAATCTCAGACTTCTTTTATTCTCGTTTGAAAACTTGAGTGATCTTCTGAAAAAAAAACGAGCTTCAATCATGCATTCCATCAGTTGATTGCACCAATCTCTTTGTTCTGTTCGGATGATGTGTGGAACCACTCGAAAAGTTTGTCTTTGATTACACCTTCCGTCCATAATATAAATCAAATTTGCAATTGCAAATTTCAGACTATGCCTGCATCTTTCAGAAAATTTATACCTGGAGAATGTATTAAAATTCTTCAAAAGATTTTTGTTCTACTGGAATTATGAGATTTGTTATAAAAAGCTTGGCTTAACGTTTACTCCATGGGCATTTTGTTGGGACTTTCACTAATTGCTGTAATTTTGCTGTACTTCACTAGAATAATTTTCCAGATTTCTGCCAACTGTAGAGAACACTGTAATATCTGTGACTTGATTTGTAGCTCAGCATTTTTTTCCAAGAAAATAAAACTATTCAATTAGAGGGTTAAAGAATTTTTAATTAATGCAACAATGTCTTCATCTCTTTTTAAATTATAAGGAGTTGGTTGAATGGATGTGTTTGTATATACAGTCTAGCCTCTCAAAGTAGAACTTCAAAAAGGGACAAATTTGACTTGATAAGGTTTTGAGTTAGGGAAATGGGAATTTTGCTGGGGGACAAGGAAGAAGAATTACAGGAAATTGAGATTGGTGATATTTAGTACTGTACCTTGAATTGCTTCATAAATGAGTTGACAGGATGCTGAACTTGAAGGCAAGGGTTCATTTATCTAATTAATCAATTATTTCCTTTTACAGTACATCACGTTACATTTTCATTGCTGTTCTCTTTCCTGTGTCAATAAAATAATAGCCAAAACGCCTCAAGAAAATTTGACTTATGAGGGAAACCCTTGAAGTTAGAAAGGTTTTCAAGGCATTGTTCCTAAGGGAATTCAGACAGGGACTTGAAAAATCTGACTTGGGAGGTATTCTACTTTGCTGGGAGGCTGGTTTCTAATTCCCCTATAATCATCAGTACATTAAAAAGCTCCCTGAGGGAATTCAGAGGTTATTTAACAACATTTACAACATACAAAGGTACAGATATTTTTCAACTTCAAAGTTCGAGTCTGCGAGGTTAAACTGCACATTACCTTGAAGAGGCTTTCCTTGAGGATACGGGAATGCAGAGCAGCGACGCCGTTGATGGCGTGCGAGCCGACCATGGCCAAGTGGGCCATGTTGATACGCTTCTCGCCGTCCTCCTCAACCAGGGACATGCGACGCAGGCGGTCCATGTCATCGGGCCACCGCTTGGCCACGGCATCCATGAGATGATGGTTGATGCAGTACATGATCTCGAGGTGGCGAGGGAGAATGTACTCCAGCATGGAGACTGGCCAGCGTTCCAGGGCCTCGGGCAACACAGTGTGGTTGGTGTAGGCGCAAGTCCGGGTCGTGATGTCCCAAGCTTCGTCCCACTCCAGGCCCTCGATGTCGAGGAAGATGCGCATGAGTTCGGGGATGGCCAAGGCCGGATGCGTGTCATTCAGTTGGATGGCCACCTAGGATAGAAACGCGAAATCCAAGCAAGAGGAATTACAAGAAAACCTTCTTCGCTATCTTCTTTAGGCAGATGAAAAAAAAATTGAAGGCGAGTCGCAATCTTTATTGGTGGAATCATATGGCATACAGGTGGGCACAATCTTGTCAATAAAAATTTTCTCCAGCAAATGTTTTATGGTCCCACAGGGTCAACTAACCACGTTATAGGGGTTATCTACCAAAGAATTCTCTACAGCGGATTTTTTCTGGTCCCTGGAGTTTTGTTGCATAGAGACAGACCTCACCAATATCATTGAGTGAATTTGGCATTTTCTAGCAAATCTTAGCTCCTCAAAATTAAATTGATTAAACAAAATCAACCATAGAAGGGTGGTCCCAGTCCACGCAATATTGAATATTTTCAACCAAAATATTCTGAAAATTGGAAACAAATTCAAATTTTCTCTTAAATATTTTAGGCATCTGGAAGTTTTTCAGAGAGGATTTTTCTTCAAGTCACTAGTTCCAGAATGAAAATTAATTATGTTCCAGTTATGACTGCTGATTGTTTGGAACTCCTATAAGGAAAACTGCACAGCCCAGAGAAATTGAGTTTTTCACACAATTTTCTGCAGATTTATAAAAAAATATTGGACTTTTCCTGACTTAGGCCTTGGTTCAAAACAAAGATTTTCTCATCTTCAGTTCTCATGGGCACAAGATTTTGCGAGTTGGGCACCACTGGTCTATAGCAGTGTTCCCAAAACTGGTCTGCAGACCAGCGCTGGTCCTCAGAAGTTTTTTTCCCCCTTTCCACATAAAATTTTTTCAGCATTATGAATTTATCGAAAGTAGCAATGAATTCTGTTTTCTTCATCTGAAATTTCAAGAAATGGCAGTTGAAATTATCTGATGAAAAAATGAAAGTAGGCTTTTCTTCTAAAAACACTAAGATTTCACCAGCTGAAATAAATTATTTCAATTTTTTCATTCTGAAAAACCTTAATTTTTTGAAGACATTCCACTATAGCTGCTTTGTTGGAACTTGACTTGACGACGTTTGCCAAAAAGCAGGAACTGTTTTACACCCATCATAAAATCTTTCAAGCAAAATTGTTTTGAGTCGACAAAAATTTCGAGATTTATTCAGTATGCAGAAAATTCTTTCGAACTTTCCGTCATTTCATGTACATTAATCAGTTTGAGGGCCCAAGAAGATTGGGGAACACTGGTCTACATAGGATTTCAAAAACTCGTCATATTCACCTTGTCGGGGAAGTTCTTGAAAGTGCGGCTGTCCGAGTCAGTGCCGGCCTTGGACGTCTTGTAGCGACGGATAATGTCCTGCAGACTCGCCGCCACCATGAAATACTCCTGCTTCAGCCTCAATTCCTTGCCCTGGAAAAAGTTGTCATTCGGGTACAAGACCCTCGTGATGTTCTCAGCCAGTGTGCGATCCAACACGGCCTGAATGTAGTCGCCGTCGTTGAAAAACTTGAGATTGAACGAGACCGGCGACTTGGCCGACCAGAGTCGCAAAGTGTTGACAACGTTGTTCTCGTAGCCCGGGATCGGGTTGTCGTAGGGCATGGCGAACACGATCTTGGTGTCGATCCAATGGGATCGGCCAGAGGAATCCCGTTCCACACGGCCGTAGAAGTTGACGGGTAGACAGTATTCGGGACGGGATCGTTCCCAGGGGTTGCCGAAACGGAGCCAGTCGTCGGGTTCTTCCACTTGCTCGCCAGCACGGATCCGCTGCGCGAAAATCCCGTAGTCGTACCTAATTCCTGCGAATTTAAACAAATACAGTATATACTGTATATTTCTTCTTTGACACTCTTTAAATTCCCAGTTTATTTTACTCTTGAACTTTTTAATGGTTGGGACTGAATTTTCAGATTAATCACGCTAATCAGCAATAAACCTCCAAATGAACTCGGCCAACTGTCTCAGATACAGTTGGGACTGAATTTTCAGATTAATCACGCAAATAAGCAAGAAAACCCCAAATGAACTCGGCCAACTGTCTCAGATACAGCAAGACCCAATAAAAACCAGAATACGCCTTACGACATGACGTATACATCTAAATTCAGAATCTCATCTTATCAAATATCATTGAAGCAAATTATTGCTCACAAAAAAGATATTTTTAGGTTCCAATGCAATATACAAGTGTTAATTTATTTTTCACAAATTGTGGTTATAATGAAACCTTTCCATGCCATTCCCATTGGCTTTGTTGTATAAAGATTTTACTGTAATGCGGCCGACCTGAAGCTCTTCCCGCAACGAACACCTTATCAGACTATAATAGACAATCACAGATAACAATATAAATTAAAACTTTTTGAAAAATATTTTAGAAAAAAAAATGCACTAGAAAAAATTAAACAAGGATGATGTTCAAGTTCAGCTAAGTATACAATCTTTCCGAACATATTTAATTGGTTCTCTTCAAAAATTAGGAATAAGTCCCCCAAAAGATTCCATCAAAATTGTTCTCCATATCTTAAAGATACAGAAAATAACTGTTCAGAAGAATACCATATAAAATCGCTTGGCATCTAAAGAAGCTCAAAAGGCAAAGAACAAGAATAAGTCTTGGTGTACTGTGCGCAGATGATAGAAAAAGAACAGATTAGCCATTTTATTTATCGTAGGCTTTAATTGGCATTGTTGTGAATATAAATGGCTCAATTTTTCCAGAAGCTATCCAGAATTTTTAAAATGAAATCTCTCCATTCTCCAAGAAATACAGGTGGACTCTCTCTTTAAAAATTTTCTCCGCAAAACAAATTCTTCCGGGAAGCTCTTTCCCGATGTCATGGGGTTCTCTTTAATGGAATTCTCTCTACAAAGAATTTTTTTACATAGAGTCCACCTGTATTGGAGCAGTGTGTTTTTTGAGACATTGTTCAGATGTTGGGGCAGATATTTGAGTTTAAAGTGTCCCACAGTCAAATTGTCTGGGCATACATATATCGGGGTGCTACTAACACTGTACATATTTCAAAGAACCCACCATAGCCATAGGCCGCCATCCCCAAAGTAGCCATGGAGTCCAGGAAGCAGGCAGCCAAGCGACCCAGGCCGCCATTTCCGAGCCCGGCATCCTCCTCCAAGTCCTCCAGCTCCTCAATATCCAGTCCCAGTTGGTACATGGCCTCGTCACACGCACTCTGGATGCCTACATTGATCATCGTGTTGGACAAAGACCGGCCCATGTAGTACTCCAAGGAAAAGTAGTAGATCCTCTTCGGGTCCTTCTCGAACCAGTTTTGCTGGGTGCGGATCCATCGGCCCACCAAATGGTCCTTGACAGTGTGGGCCAGGGCGAAGTAGTAGTCGCGAATCGTGGCCACATTCCGGTCCTTGACCAACGAGTAGTGCAAGTGCCTGTTGAACGTCTTCTTCACTGCAGTCACGTCCTCGATCTCGGCAATGCCGCGGATCGAGATCTGCTTGCGTTTATCCGTGTCCGACTGCATACTCTTCTTCTGTCTGCGACTTTCTCCCGTTTCCCAATTCTTCAACTGTGTCAAGAAAAACGAAGACGGGCAAAACAAACAAAACAAGAAACGGTTAATAGCTAACAAAAAGTCAACAGCTGCTGGTTACGCAATACGATTGGGGTTTCTCATAAGTCCGGCGGATCGCTCACGTCCATGCACGAAACATCGTTGCTGGAGGAACTGCATATGAATAAAATCGATTTTTAAAATAAGATACGTGCTATAGGCCGCATTGGTGAGCGAGAATTCCTTGCGGCCTATTTACGGACAGTTATTTATAAAAACAAACTACGTTGGTTTATTCCTATTCTAAAACGCAACATGTCCAGGATTTTGGTAAATTCAAGCTATTAAAGAAGGAAAATGATCTTCAATTAAATTGATTATCTTTGTCTCAAATACGAGGGTTGTCCCAGTTGGACGCGACCTCTGATATTTTTACAGTAGATGTACAGTAATTGTAGAAAAAAAATCATGACCTATCCCATGAGGTTCTGGCTTTTTTTCATTTCTGAAAAAGGTTTTCAATTTACTGCATGACAGGTGAGAACTTATGTCACAGCCCGAGGTCGCCACCCATGTCACAAGGAGCTAAAAATATATAAAGCCAAATTAAAATTGAAATGTATTTGTTAATCTAACCAATATCAAAAATGTAGAAACGATCATGGTTAAACCAACCAAAAAAAGAAAGTTATCAGCTGCCCTGGAAATTTTTAGCACCCTCTGACATGATGCGTGGGAAAACTCTTGTCGTAAATGGAAAGTTTTCACTCACCATCATGCAGTGAACTAAATTTTTTTTCGAAAAAAATGCCAGAAACTTGATTCAAGAAATAACCCAACACCATGGGTTATATAATTTTCAATGGTTACAGTCTAGAAGGAACCAAGGTCGCGCCCAAGTGGTACAAAGATCGTATGAAATAGAATGCATTCATGAGTGAGACTTCAGTGCGGCCTATTCATCTGAAAAAATTCCTAAAGTACTATTCTGGCTTTTTTCTAGATATCTAGAACCTAGGACGCTGAGCGTCCAGGATTTCGGTGAACTTCAAAGGTAAATGAAAATTAATCATACGTTTTTCATCTGTGTTGCGAATACAGTACTTCTTAAAATGTCACATTTTCCCTCGAATGTATTGTTTCGTGGATTGAGTTCCTTCGTCTGTCTGAAATGGCTGATCGTATTCCGCATGGCATATTTACACGCCTAGATATGTTATCCAACATCAGCAACTTATTCGTGATGCACATCAAATAAAAGCATCCACTTCCAGTCTTCCACCACCAAGAAAACCCTCAAGCAACCGAATTTTTACGAGGCGCAGCGGAAAGAACAAGACAAGGAAGCAGTTTTAAAGCTCAAGAAAAAGCACCACTTTTTTATTTTTTGAATTGGCCCCAAAACATGAAGCTCAATAATTCGGAATTCATTCCGCAATCAACCGAATATTTTGAAATGAAATTTCACGTTCGGATTCAAACTCACCGACCTTCGGGGTAATAAATTTAACTTCATTGATGCGTGTTATCTATTGAGAGAACTGCACTAAAATTTCCTGGAATTTGTTCAGAACGCAAATCAAGAGAATCACGTTATTCACCCCCACGTGTTTATTCATCCTACTCATGAAAAAATTCCGATATTTTTCAGCGAATAACGGTGTTGGGAAGAAAAACACTCGAGCGAAAAAGAACTCCCGAGTATTTAAGCTCCCGTTCAGAAAAACCCACGTCTACTTGAGCTTTGGAACGGATGTTTCAATGAATTGAAGTAAAAGAAGTTTCACTTGAGAACGAAACTTGCCTTTTTTTCTTGTGCTTAACCGAAATCAGGCGAATTATTGGCCAAACGGAGGACGATAGAAATGGAGCACCCATAGGATGAAGCAAAAACTTGAAATTGAGTGATTTCAAGCAAGGAACCAAAAAAAAACTATGTCGTAGTAAAATCTTTCACTAACTTATGAGTGCAAAGACTTTTTTCAGGCTTGCCGCAAGGTTTTTAGGACGTCTTTAACGGTCTTCGCAAGGTAGTTTATCGAGTTTCGAATACGCAGGACATACGAAAGCAAAGCAAACGGACACCAATCAGCTTACGTACAGCTTCATTTAAAATTTTGAGATTTTAAATTTCTGGGAAAGTTAAAAGTAGACATTTTAAATTTCTGGGAAAGTTAAAAGTAGACATTTTAAATTTCTGGGAAAGTCCTATTTCCCCACTTGTGCACAAATGATACGGTTCTACAGCTTTCAGCGAAGAAATCGGTTGACTGAAGTTTTACTTACTAGTAGTTAATGAGTGCATAAATTGAAGGCAAAAAACTTGTATGAACCGGTTTATCACATCCACTCCGCAAAAGATCAACCAAGCGATTACAATACGAATTATTTTCAGTCGTTGATTCGTGAATGAACGGCATAATTTCTTCATGTTTCATCACGACTGAATTCTACTTTTTCCTTTTAAATTAATAATGAAATACAATTACCGGGAATTACTACAAAGATTTTCCGTAGATTCAAGATAATCGAAAGTTGGTACAGATGAAGCAGCGTAAAATTTAGTCATAAGGGAGATTATTTTTGAGAAGCTGTGACGCAGAATATTTACGGGAACTTTCAGATATACTGTATATGTTTGAAACCCGATTCTGCAAAAAATTTTAACATAACAATTTGATTAAATTTCAATCATTCGTGTTAATATGGAAATCAAAATATCAAAAGCAAAAATTATTTGTTTGCCAAACGCTAAAAATATGGCGTATTCTTTGGGAGAATGTTGCAGATCTGACGATCAGCAGAAACAAAATTTGCACGGATCGTGGTAAGTTAAATTAACGAAGTCACTCCTCACCTCGGGCAGCCGTTGAAGAAACTACAATAAGAACATAGACTAACTCAAAATCTTCCCAATTTATCTCTGGGAGTTTGAGGAGTCTGATTCAGGAACTTTGGAATCCAAGGTTGCGACGAAACTATTTCTTTTGTTGCGTAATTTTACACACATGCATGCAATTTTTCGTCGACTGATGGCTCATGCAAGAATTCGAATTTGGCAACGCGACATTTTCTATTGCAGCTGTGGTGAACATGTACAAAATCACGGAATAAATAAATACTGAACGAAAGACTTCTATATACAGTACAGCATTGGAATACTGGGAAACAGGCGTAGGTCATTGTACTCACCCAGAAACTTCGATAAACGTCGTCGTGGCCCCGACACTCGCAAGAAACAAAAACAATACACCAGGGAAACTGATCCTGAACTTCCCACTCGACAACAAGGCTTTCCTTCGAGAGAAAGCTTTCTTAGCAGCTAGCTAAGGTAGTTATTAAGTGGGTTCCCGATGTCTGTGTAAAGTTAGTACTGGAAAGGCACCTTCAACGTGGTCGTCTTTTGCCGTTTAGTCACGTGGTGTGTCCTTTATATCACATGGTGTAAAAATATCGAAGTAATCTTCCCGATTACTTTCCGCGGAAAAGTGTGGTAGCTAGTTTCAACACTTCCCGAACTTTCTTCACTCTGTTTCCGGAGAATTTTCAAAATAACCGCATTCGATTGAACGATTTCCACGATTTATTTCACTTCTAGATTTCGAAACAAAAATTAGCAAAATGTATTTGAAATATCATCAATTTTCTTGGAAGATGTGATTCCTGTGCACCTGAATATATTTCAAGCAACCTTTTGTTCCTCGCATGCTTTATCACTAAGCTGTCCAAAAACAGCCGAATGTTAATTACTTCACGTGACCTGAACAGCTGACCGATTCGCAATTCAACCCCAGCCTAAATAGCAAAACATGACGCAACTGCTACCAAATGAAATTTGAAGATTCGAATAAGTCTAGACGTACGTAACTTGAACTGATGCTGCATGAAGAAAAAAAATTTGTAAGTCGGGATGTTTAAGACGGACAGTACTGGAAAATTGCTCATTTCACAAATGAAACTACTCTAATGAGCATATGAAGTTTTTAAAATACGGTGGTACTTGAATATTGCCAAGTTTTATGAATGCACAAAATACTAAGTCGCTCCACAAATCACGACCCTTTATTTGAGACGATACAATTTTTGCGTCTCTTTCGTTTATTTTGTACGTTTGTAACTGTAAAAATTTATCGTGAGGAGAGCGTTACAGAAATCCCATTTTCGCCAACAAAATTAAGCAGTTTCCCACTGGACTACGTAATTCCGCGTAAATTTTTTTAAAATAATTCGTTCCAACACAATTTTCTGTTTATTCCATGAAGAGTTCATTCCTTAATCACTATGATCAGCCGATCATAGAGGCTTCATCATTGCATCCTAAAAAGAATATGCTTGAGATTCAACGAAAACCATTCTACAGTATTCCTGAATTGTATTGCCAGATAGCTTCGATAGTAAATGCGAAATTCAGTTTCAAACTGAGCCTCTCTTGATTCTGAAGAAAACCCGAGAAGCAAGCCACGTTGAGAGTGAAGATACCGGTTTAACCATGCTCATAACGGGTTAGGACGAAACCAGTTATGGCCACAATGGTTGACTATAAAAAAATCCAGAATGAAAATTATGGACTGGTGAAACCAGGAGATTATCGAAGAGTTGCATGCTAATGACTACGATCCTTCAGTTTAACCACGGCAGCTAGTCGCACGCCTAATCGAAATTTGATCTCACTTTAAATAGTTGCGAATGGTCAACATTACCCCGATTAATCCAAATCTATATGATGGCAACCATTTACTCGAGTACCACTAGAGACTAGATAACATGAGAAAATGCTGCTTCAGAATTTCGAAAACGTTGTGAAGCACAAGGAAGATTCTTACAGCTTTTCTTTTACAATGACAAACACGTCCTGCGGCATTAAAACGGATAAACAGAAGAACGAGGATCGAGTTGTTCACGGCTTCACGCAGGTGATTATTCACGGCTTTGTCTTACCGAAGTACTGTACCGAAAAATTTGAAACGATTATGCATCGATCGAAAGCATTTCTACTTTAACTTATTCATTCTCATGTAACCAGAGGAATTTAATCTGAGGGCTTAATAAGGATTTTCTCGAATGTCTACGGATGAGCCGAAAGAATACTCGAATGGCTTTCGGAGTTGATTTCCTCTCCCAGCAACTGCACGAAACAGCTTTTTTCGTATTCATGTTCACCAAGCCACAGAAAATGAAGTACCTCAGTCAATTCATACAATTACTTTTTAATCGGCCCAAGTCTCGTAAGCATAATACTGCAATAAAATACGGTAGATACAATTTTCAAGTCCTGTACTCATGTACTGCACTGTACTATGACTGAAGTTGATCCCTTCTGGCCTTCCACGATTCTGAACAAAAATAAATGAAAGCATTTTGCAGGATTCCACTCGTTTATGAGTAATGTGTCACTGCTGAGATTCCGAGAAATTTCCGCCATTAGGTTCTGTTTAATTGTTGAACAATTAAAACCAGACAGACACGCAGACGGTTTATCAACGCATCAAAATAACAGGATTTCTGAATGCAACTGCATTTTTTTTACTTCGTGGATATTTCCAGGGCTTCGAAAATATGAAGAAATTGAGCTCCTGCGGTAGTCGCCAGTAGAGCGTATAATGTCATTAATAGTTATGTCATGAAGTTAGATTGCGAACAGTTGGTTCTGTAAAAGCTGATCTTAAAGCGTCGGTTCAAAGAGTAGTCAAAAAACATTTGCTAGTACTACAGTACTGTATAACAATTTTAATTCAACCATGATGAAATTCAAGGAATATTCCGACGCTCCGAATATAGAGACAGACAAACTCGATTCCTCAAGCTAAAAAATAATCTGTCTCTTCTGCCGGCGTAAATTAGTTCACAGTAATTCCAAGCAGAATGTGCCGAATCACTTAGATTGCTTAGAATACCTGCTGATGGGTAACCTAGCTAATAAGATTCTAAAAAATACGACAAATTTTCGTGCAAAATTTTTGGAATGGATGGAAGATTGAACAGCATGCACAGTACTGCACGTCAGATACGCTCGCGCAGTGAATATAGAACGAAAAATACTGAAGTGGTACCGAAGGAGTAACACAACTAAAATGTACACGAATATTTTCGAACAGGGGCAGCTTGCAATACATCACCGTAACTAAATATACGTGCTTCAGCGGTCATCTCGCATATTACAGTAATTATCAATACAGTACTTCAATCTAACGCTTGTCAACCAAGACATTTTCGACTAGAATTTCGCAGCCAAGTTTCTCATCAGTTTTTTGTAAACGATCATGCACAGTACTGTATAACAATTTTAATTCAACCATGATGAAATTCAAGGAATATTCCGACGCTCCGAATATAGAGACAGACAAACTCGATTCCTCAAGCTAAAAAATAATCTGTTTCTTCGGCCGGCGTAAATTAGTTCACAGTAATTCCAAGCAGAATGTGCCGAATCACTTAGATTGCTTAGAATACCTGCTGATGGGTAACCTAGCTAATAAGATTCTAAAAAATACGACAAATTTTCGTGCAACATTTTTGGAATGGATGGAAGATTGAACAGCATGCACAGTACTGCACGTCAGATAAGCTCGCGCAGTGAATATAGAACGAAAAATACTGAAGTGGTACCGAAGGAGTAACACAACTAAAATGTACACGAATATTTTCGAACAGGGGCAGCTTGCAATACATCACCGTAACTAAATATACGTGCTTCTGCGGTGAGCTCCTCAACGCAGACGTACTTCGAACACATCACGTGAACACGGACACAGCAGAAGCCATTCATGAACAAACCTACGCCGAATGTGAGGGGAAATCACAATACTCCGGCAAATCCACTCGCTCGCGAGCCTCACTACTTAAACACTCAAACCGGAATAAACCCAGTTTTCGCAGAACTACGGAAAGAGGGGAAACTTTGCCACGTTTCAGCTCTGATCCACAGTTCGAATACACACGTCTCTGTATAGCCATAAGCATCACGGATGATGAAGACAGTTCAAATGAAAGCCACGACGCGGTCAAATGTTACCACGTGATCCTGTTGGCACGCGAGCTGTGCGACGGAAACAATTCCATAGGCGTCACATAGACGCGGGAAACTGGCGCCCGCGCCGGGTTGCCGAGCAAGTTGAGTCTGCATCTCCTGAGACGCTGAGGAAGATCAGGAGGTAAAAAAAAACCAAGGTGATACCGGAGCAACATGCGCACAACCCGAAGAAGACGTGAAGCAGCTTCATGCGGCGGCGCTGAAGCGACTGAGATCACGTGATGGCTGCCGCGGAGAGAAAAGGACCGATTCCGGTAAGACCAAGAACTTTCACCCCGAGCGGAGGGCGAGCTCGACCGCCGTCTTCGCTACTTCCCGAATAGGTGTAAGAAAGAAAAAGCAACACCATTCATCACAAAGCTTGTTTCATTTATATTATTACCCTAAATAATCGGATTAATACCCCGCCCAAGGAGGAACTGAAAAAGAAAACTGGAACAGCAAAAGAAATCCTTATACAGTACAGTATTGAGTAATGATTTTCTTACCGAGCATTGCCTGCATACGCTGAATATAAAAAATATATTTTTTACAAGCGAACTTCATCTATCAATAAGGTATGCTGTTAATTAGGTCTAAAACCTGCGAATTATTGATGTTTCCTCAAGAAATACGCAGCTTTTATGCAACAACAACAAAAATTGTGTTCCATAACATGCTTTTCCGTGTGCTTATTTACAGCTGTATATACAGTGCTGTACAATATATATATATGTACAGTACAGTATTTGCTCGGGTACCATCACGCGCCTTTTTCTTGAAAATCAACGGAGAAAAGTGTGGGGTGCGCTTGGTATACGCGAGTATACATTTCTCAACAAGAAGGAAGAATCATGAAATCATATCTGCGTCAGAAGTTAGCCGCAGGTGCAAAAATCCATGCAATAATATACAGTATTTGGCACCATCAGTCGTTACGATATGAAGATTGGTTCTTCTGGTACAAATATGTACTTGGCAATAAGTAAACTTTTATTTTCAGCCAAAAACTGGGTCTTCACGCGGGGATAGGTTTCGGGAAATTTTTGGGTAAAAAAATATTGGTGCGAGCCTAACTCGAGGGCGCGTGATCCTCAAGTATAAATGCGGGATCTCAGGAATGAAGCGATTTCCCCATTATACAAATACACGGGGAGAAAAATATTTAAATAATTATATGAATATTGTGAATTAATTAACTTGAAAATAAAAATGATAAAAATCGAAGAAAGGTACGTGATAGAAAACGATTTATGCTGATTCTTATACTCATGTATATTAATTTATGCATG